ATCAGTATAATATTAGTATTAATATCAGTATTATCAGTTTTATCAGTATTAATATTCATAATGTTGCAGTAAATTTAATTACTACTTCTATGGTTTCTATAGTTATTTTATAGTTTTGTTATTATTATTAATTTATTATTACGACTTCATTTTCCATTTTCCAGAAAAACTTTTGAGTACATTTTTGGCTCCATTTTTATATATATAGATTGGTAGCTATTTGTTAATCAGGCATGTTTGTTGATTTGTATTATTAACTTTTGCCAATATACATAATACATTAATACATATAGGTATATAATATATACAAGAAGATCTGAAAAGTAGTTCCAGAATTTAGTAGATGCCTACCTGATAATGTACTGCTGCTAATCAGAAATTGTATTCCGGCCAACGGAAAAGTTAAGATAAATTTTGAACACCATACAACGAATATTAAATAATGAATCGAACAAAGTTTGAGTCATATAGAGTTGATACATCTAATGGGCAACGAAGTGCACGGGATCAGCTGGTATATTATATTTACCACGTATATGTGCAGAGCTGTAGCTAGGGCTTGGCGAGACTGGCCCAGGCCAGGGGCGCAACGAAAAAGGGGCGCAAAATCCAGAATAAAATATACCATACAATATATATATATATATATATACATATGTTATTATTATTTATTGGTATTCTTAATAATTTACATTTTACCCTAGAATATGCACAAAATAGTTTTATTACTATAAGTACATTATAGTGATTAGGGACTATATACCTACTATTTTATAGTGTAGCCGTGTAGGTATTGTATATTATACAAATATATTACAATTATTATTTACAGGTGTTTAAGAATAATAACTCATTATAATATTACGTAATATTAGGCCCGGGTACCCGAGTGATATTTTAAGAACAGTTAGTAGCCGATAATAGTGTGTTTTTATTTGTGTTGATAGTTGTTTAAACTGCTGCTTATACAACCATCTCGGCACGCAAGTCAATTATCAACATGGTAGTTTTGAAAATCGATCATTATTATTAAATATTAGCTGCATGTAGTTAAAATTAGGATTCTAAATTTATTATATTTTAAAGACTCCCTTAGTCCCGTCAGTCGTCATATTTATAGGTAGGTAGATACTCCTATTTCAATATTTAGTAATTTTATATTAGTCAGTGAAAGGAAGAACTTCCACAACAGTTCTACGGTGAATTCCTAATTATTATTAATTATAATTATACAAAATTAAATGAATTTACTTAATTGTAGTTCATAATATATTAATATAAGTATTAAGTTGTAACCTAGGTTTATACAAAATAATTGTTTATAAGAATGTAAATACTAAATAGTAAATATCTAGTAGGTATACTGGTATACAAGAAGTCACTATTAACATTCGTTGGTTTTTATCGATCAAATTTGAATTTAAGTAATACATTAAGATAGTTTGTTCACCGTTCACCTATTTAAAAAAAATAATACGTTTATTCAATTAATTGATTAATTATTTTAAAATCCTCTAAATCTTATTTGGAGTTAAGAAAAAGAAATAATAATTAATATTAGTCTAATATTGTCTAAAAAATTATCTTCACAGTTCACACCAAGTATCTATTTTATTTTATTTGTTTTAATCCTACGGACTATTTTTGATAATCTAAGGTTAGATATTTATCTTTATTATTATAGAGTAATTTGGACAACTAGCTTGATAGTGATATCGATAAAAAAATATCTTTAATTCAGTTTAATGATTAAACATAAATTTAATGAGTCTGAGAAATTTTATTTCCTTATTGAAAATATAAATTTATTTCTTAAATTATATTTTAAAAGATTTTATTATATTTTTTTTTAAATTATATCTGGACGTTACCAATCCTTTTGTTATAGGTTTCACATACGAGCGACATAGCAAATATTCGTTCACTAGTTACAATAGTGTGCTGTGAGTTTTTGTATTTAGAGTGTTTCGACCTATTATTAAAATTTTGGTTAAGAACATTATATATGCTTAAGCGTCTGATTTTATTCCATATTTTAATTTTCAAGCGAGATAAGAGCATTTTTAATTTGTGATATTTTATATCTTGCTTGGAAATTTAAATATCGAATAAAAGTCGACGCTTAAGCACAGCTAATGTTTTAAACTAAAAGTTTAATAATAGATATGGTTAATATTAATAATTGAAAATCACCATTGATATAAAAACTAACAGCACATTATTGAAACTAGTGAACGAAAATTTGCTATGTCGTAGGTTTGTAATACGGAGACAACAAACGCATGTGTAGTACCTATACGTACTACTGTACTAGTATACTCTTAATAAAAAAAAATATAAACCTTCTAAAGTGGAGTTTAATTATATACTACCAAAAAAGCACGAAAAGTGAAATTTTGAAATGTAAAAAATAATTTTTTTTTGATTATTTTATAAGGTTTTAATAAGTTTGGCAGTGTTTACTATTGTTTTTTTTTTTATTAATATTATAATTTTTACTATTAAAAATAAAATAGCGAATGCATAAGTCTTTTATATGTGTGTGTGAGGGGGGGGGGTTAAAAAAATTTATAAGGGCGGAAATATGATAAATGGACAGGAGCGCTAATAAACATTGCTACGGCTCTGTATATGTGTACCAGCTAGGGGGAGTCCTTGTGCGGCAGTGGCAACATGTTATAATATTTTCCTTTCCGATGTATATACATATAATATCTATATAAAACCCAATCGACGGGTTATAATCGTGTACGATAATTTATTTACTCGGGACATTATAATTGTATAAAAAAAATTAAATAAATAAGTACCTATATACTATCCATCAGTGGCGTATTTACGGGGGGGTCCATGGGGTCCGGTCCCCTCCCATTGATTCGTGTCTCGTACATGTTAAATGTTGTGCAGTTTTTACATGATTAAAAAACAAATTTTATCATACGATTTTACGGATTGTATAAAAAATTTTCGAAGCTATAGTTATATCAACATTTTCAATAAATATCGTGATTATTTTTATCAGTTGGGTACCGAAAATGGTTGAAAAATACCAAATTAATTTTTTAATTAAAATATTTTGTAGTTTTGTACATTGCCAGTATCTACAACCACTCCAGAGAGATCTTTTTCAAACTTTTTAAGGTTGAAAAGCTATCTAGGATCAACTATGAATGAAGTAGGTACCTAATGTAATTAAGGAAATATTTGTATAAAAGTTATAACATATAACTATATATTCGATTCTGAGGGATCTATTGGTTCTACAATGGTGTTTATTTTTTTTTCCTGTATACAAAATTTCTTCCAGAAGGAGTGCTTCGATTTCAACATGCATAGACATATAGTAACTTATCTTTTAAAAAATTGGATCAAGATTACTATCTTAGAGAGGTCATTTTTCGATTTTCTCAATAGTTATTTAATGCCACTGTAAAAACCACCAAAAAATTACAAAAAAACCGCTAAAAATGGGATTTTAATTTCTAACACTTTGTCTATCACCATAGAAAAAAATAAAAAATAAAAGTATTTCATTATTAATTCAACTAACATGCTATAATAAATAATAACAATATAAAATATCCAGACTGACAAACCGTCTTCGTTCAGAATCGTTATTCTTATACAATGATATTATGATATTATATCATTGAGTTCAAGTTTAATACAATCCATTATACATTGACCCACTTGTAACCTACTGTACAGCAGCAGAGTGACATCCACTCACCCGCTTTTTTTTAAATTTGTTTTGTACATATTATTAATTATTATTTAATAATTAAAAACTCGACAATTTTATATCGTCTTATAAATATGGTAGGTATATTTTATTTAATAAAGAGTAAATGGGTGGTGTGGGGGGCTTCGTCCCCTATGGCTCTGTGTTCTGAAAATTATCTGGAGCCACTGCTATCCATCGCTATAATATTATTTGTGCTATAATATTATTTGTTTAACTCTTCGGTCTGTGAAATTCAAAGGTGGTATGTGCAGGCCATTATTAAACCCTGTGTAAAATAACAAATAACGATAATATTATGTAGGCATATATTTATATTATATATAATATATATATATATGATACGATGTCTTAGCGAGGTGTAAAAAAACCTACCGATGACCTACCCCTTTTCGATGCCGCATCATGTGTTTATTTTATATACCATTTGTCGCATCATATTAAATTATTTATTTATTTATTAAACATTGATACTGTATATGCAGTTTCTGCAGGTCCACGAGATTACTTAGTATATAAAATCTCACTATGTATACAGTGTATACACTCCGGCCGCCTGCTGCAGTAACACAAACGTTTATGTATAACTCAATAGGTATAATATAATTTTATTTTATTTGGCCTTGGGAATCCACAAGTAAACTGACTCGTATTCGGTGGTGTTGAAATCGCATTATTTTAGAATTTCAAATATGTATGTAATTCATACAGCTTTAAATTTATAACCAGGGACAACGAATTAAAATGACTTAAAAAAATTTAATTATCCATACCATGTGAAATAACGCTTGCTATTTTTCCAAGGTCCATTATTGTGCAATCTCACACCAAAAGGTGGAAATGTGAAGTTTTCCAAAACGTTCACTTCGGTGCCCCCTATAAGTATCACATCAAACCGTATCCAATGTAAGGTAAATCAGAGGTCAAGGCTAATATTATGAGAAGGACCACACTGCTGTATAGATATATACCTACGAAATTATTAAAACTGACTGCCAGTGAGCGGGGAGCTGTAATTGCTAAGAATTCAATAGTGAATAAGAAAACCGAAAATTACTGAAAAACCGATTCGATGAGATTTGTTTTGGAAAGGCAAATTTAATTATAAGACTATTATTATAATGATAGCTTGTGCACAAAGTCTAGAAAATATACGCGTCATAAATAAATAATTTATATAGCGATGTATATACCTACCTATACGTGAAATGTATCGAACCGAATATTATATTATATCATAAACTTATATACAGACACCTCATGACAATGCCCACACAATATCGTTTGTGGATTGTACACGAGCACTAAAACAATATAATATATTATATGAGTTTTTGCCTTTCACCTGACTGACGTCTCGGTCCATGGCGTTCGTCAGGATCCATTCCCTGACTTGTTCGTGTTGTTCGTTTTCCACGTGCACGGTATGCGGTAACGGTACGTTGGTGGGGAAGTCTGTGCCTTGCAAGTCTGTGTCGTCGATCACGTCGTTCTGTCCGTCTGCTATGGCGTTAGTAAAATCCAAATAATAGTTCAAGAAAACGAATGCTTCTGCATTGCGGTTATCCACAGGTGGGACATACACTTTTTGTATGATAAGACATATTTTGACCAAAATAATATATCGTCGCGAGCGGACAAGCCGTTGAACTGACACGACGATCATTGTTATATATACCTACCTAGGTAATTTAATTTAATTTCGATCGTAACCGCGGCATCATAGGTCGTGTTTTACGATTTGACAAGTGTTACTGTATAGTTGTGTTTGTGATTAGGTAAAAACGTGCTCTGCTGTACAGTAGGTTACAAGTGGGTCGCTGTATAACGGATGGTATTCATTTTGAATTCAATGATATAATAGCATTGTATAAGAAAAACGATTCTGAGCGGAGACGGTATGTCAGTTTAGGTTTAAGACATATTATATACATATCTATTAAAAAAAAATTGACCTTTAATAGGTACAGTAGAACTTCGATTATCTGTGACTCGATTATCCGTATTCGCGATTAACCGTGCTCACTCTTCCGAAAATTTAAAAATAAATATGGACAGTAGATATTAGGGGTCTCAATGGAACAATTTATTTTTTTTGCACCCGTGTATCCGTGACACCGATATATATTTTGAATAAACACGTATTTCACGTGACACGTGAATCCGAAATTTGTACGAGGACTATAATAGTGATTAAACAATCACCGAAATTGTCGTCCACTATCGCAGTTACCTGCAACGCCATCCGTGCCTGATTGTCGTGATTTCCATCACAATATAGTTTTAAATCTCTCCAAAGTCTTAGGTGGCTAGGTTTGTCACGATCGTGGCCCATATGCGTTGCTACATCAATCACAAATTCAACTAAATTCAACCCACTTCATTGACAGGGACGATTTACCTTAATTTTTTTAAATTAATTATTTTAATTTTATTTTTTTGATATATCGGTATTTTGTAATTTTTTGCCATCCCTAGTGGTAATATTGCTTTCGTTTACTTTATAATCACGATAATAACAGCAGCCAGGCGCGTAGCCAGGGGGGGTGTTACAGGTGTAGTAACACCCCCCCCCCCCTCAACCGTGGTGTACTATGTTTTATAATTTAAACCTGGACACGGGCACACGGAATTAGATAATTATTATTTTAGACCATTCTGTGTCAGTTTATCGTTAACTCGTTTCATGTACGATACAAGATATCTTTTAATGCAGAGTATTTACAACTTGTTTACAACTTCATCATTAGAGTGTTACTCTATGGTATCAACTATCATTGGGGATTACAATTTCAATACCTCGACTAGCTATAAACCGAACAAATCGTTTTAGAATTTCAACAGAATCACCGGAAGTCTATTTTAGGATTTTGATTTTTGTACCTTTTTTGGATCATTTCTGTGAGCAACTAAATGACAGATTTTTGAACCATAAATCACTATTAAAACAATTTACTTGTTTAATAAATGCAAATGAAAAAATGATACCGAATTTAAAGAACTTCTTAAGACATATTTTTCAGATATTGAAGCTGATGAAATATCTGCAATTGGTGAGTTTGCAATATGGTATGAACATATAAAAATAAAAATCCTAAAAATCCTAAAAATGTTACCGAAGCCTTCTTTAACAGCAACGAAGACATATTTCCTACTGTTTATCGACTTTTACAAGTATTGATTACTTTACCTGTAACAACTGCAAGCAGTGAAACGTCTTTTTCCTCATTAAGACGCTTGAAAACATATCTAAGAAATACAACTGGTGAAAATCGCTCGAATGGCTTAGCTGTTATAAATATTCATCGAGATTTAGTCGTAACCACAGACGAAATAATAGATACACTAGCCTCAAAAAGTCGACACATTAAGTTAATTTAAAAATGTATTCATTTTTTTTTTATTGATAATAATATTATATAAGAGAACTATTATTCTAAACTATTATCTATTCACGGGTAAGTTGTAATACGTTTGTATAATAAATAATTTTCAAGCGAGATATGAGCATTTTTAATATTTCCATACACTTATTTTTCTCAAAAGTGAAAGTATCGAAAAATCGCCCAAGCTAAGACCCAGATAATGTTCTTACCTAAAAGTTTGATAATATGTCGATTCACTCTAGTATCAAAACTAACAGCTCACTATTGAAAATAGTGAACGACAATTTGTTATGTCGTGCGTGTGTAAGACAGAGACAACACACGCGTCTTAGCGTCCTCTTAAGTTTGAATAACACCCCCCCTTTGAAATTTCTAGCTACGCGCCTGACAGCAGCAGTCAATAATAAAAATATCATAATATTTAATCAAACAATTTCGAAAAGGACTCATATCACCGAGATATCACAATTATATTCCTAAAAAAGGTGGGTAAGTGGATGTCGCTCTGCTGTACAGTAGATAACAAGTGGGTCACTGTATAATGGATCCTATTAAATTTGAATTCAATGATACAATATCGTGTTATAAGAAAAACGATTCTGAGCGAAGACGGTATGTCAGTCTAGGTTTAAGACATATTATATTATACATATCTATGGTATTAAAAAAAATTGACTTATAATAAATTCCAAATTAATCATATCACAATATCCATTAGGTACTTATAACACGTTATACATCAATAACAAACCCTGATACTATCATAGATATATAATATAGTGTACTTTAGAAGTTTCAAGTACCCACGAATAGTATTATACACTCACAACAAAATAACTAAAATATGTATGCTAGGTTTTTTAATATGTAATTTCGTCCCAAATTTGAACTTAAAATGTCTGTAAAAAATAACTGTGCTCATATATTTTTTAGATTTTTTGGCTACAGTATGACCTATTTATGAGAATCTTTTTTTTAAACTTTCAATCCTTAGCTATAAAACTGAACATTTTATAATTTATTAATTACGATGATTGATAATTATCGAGATTTTGATAAATTTTGTCAAAATGCGATCTTTAAATGCTTATAAAAAAAATTGTGCCTATGTATTTTTAATATTTTTCAATTGCTATTTTAACAATATATCAGGAGCCTTGTATTAATTTTTACACTTTTTGGCCCAACAGATTAAACTTTATTGATATTTATAGAAAAAAAAAACTAAAAATATATCAATACAATTTTATTTGTTGAATAAAAAACCTTGAAAATTTAATAGAAGGCTCCTGTATATTTTTTCAAAGGCAGATGAAAAATATTAAAAATCCTTAGTCACAGTTTTTTTTTATATGCATTTAAAGTTCAAAAATTGACAAAATATGGAAAAATCAGCAAATTATTTTGTGTTAAGAATTCATAAAACTTTTTCTTTTTAAATCTAAGATTTTAAAATTGAATACAAGATTCCTTATGAGATTATCTACCTTTATCAAAAAAAAAATGTCAATAAGAAAGTCAAATTAAATTTTTATGAGCGTTTGAAATTCAAATTTTTACAACATAGTACAAACATACAACATACAACACAAGTATTTTATCATGTTTTTAAGAAGTATTTTATACGAACAGTTATTAAACTTAGAAGGCAGTCGGCCTTCTATTAAAAAAAAATATTAATGCGGATGTTTAATTGTTTTCTTTTTTTTATCCATGTCTTCATTAAGTGCCAAATAATTTTGTTTTATAAGATAATTATAGAAAATATTAAACTAACTTATGTTTCTATTGTAATAATCTTGGTGCTTGGTACCTACTATCGTAGTGTTGACAGTAGATAAGTGGCTACCAAGTTATTATAGATGCAGGTCGCAGACACTTTATTTGATGATGTTGTAGTCGTGGATAATAATAATAATAAGACAGTTGAAGTATGATATAATATTGTGAGATTTTATTAAAACGTTCGATAATTTTCTAAGTCCAAAATAATGTTGTACAAAGTGGCGTGAAGGTGCTTGCACTAATGGGTGGTAGTACACGTCTGAAAACAGGCCGATCGGGCTCCCTTATATTATATGAGGTTCCCCGTACCCCTTGCCTACATATACGATATCTCGGTTCTCACGGATGTGATTTGTGTGGACATTGATCCAGCCTACGCTTTTATGATTGAATGTATACTGAAGTATGACTATTATTAAAATAATCATTTTACTCTTTTTTTTTTATTTGAATTTCGTTGTATGCACTCAGTGTTTTCCCTATGATTATTATAAAATAATTATCTCATTATTTTAATTTTGGATCTCGTTGTGTGTGTTCAGTATTTCTGTCAAATGTTACAACGCCTATTTCTGAACCCTAATTTTCTTATCACCCGGTTATGCCGGTCCATCGTATATTATAATAATAACTATGTACTTATGAAATTGGTATTTGTTTCTGTCAAATGTTACTACGCCTATTTCTGAGCCCTAATTTCCTTATTACCTGGTTATGCCGATCCACCGTATATTATAATAATAACTATGTATTTATGAAATTAATATTACTCCGTAGTAACTGGCTTACTACACTATGTGTTATGTGTAATTTTTATACAAATAGTATTTATAAATATATATTTATACATAGTTAGGTATGTACTAAAAACTTACTCTTGCTGTACGGCGCTCTATAGCTTCACCCTTAAATCTGGTTCTTGTGGTTTTTAAGTTTTGACACATCGTGTTTAAACTCAAAAACGAAAAATCCTACCTAGATACTTTATAGTTTATACTGTAGATTTCGAATAGTATCGTTAATGTAATATTATTACCTTAGCGTACCGCATGCCCACATAATATTTACCTGTTGGCTGATGTGTCAAAACTTCAATAACTAAATAGGCACCGTTATACAAATACCTACTGATAACTTGAAAAATCGAAACATAGTAATATTATTAAGTATTATCAAATTAAGAAATAGATAAGCCCAAATTGTTTTCAAAAGCATTTTAAATAAGAATTCTGTCTATATTATATTTTTTTTCACCAAATACGACCACAATATTTTTCGTCTAAAATAATTTTTCAGTGCACATTGGACAGAGATTATAATTTTAGATAAATCAAATATTCTGGACAAAATATTTGGTAATATTAGTAAATTTAAGATTTTGATTTTTCGAACAAACTGTTAATGTACGAAATATATTTTTTGAAAATTTAAGTTTTGTTTATAACAACGAGTAGGTACCTATTATAGTATTATCTGATCAACAAAATTATTCGAG